AAAATAATAATATAAAAATTATATAATAACAATATAATAATTGCATTATTAAAAAAACTCAGGTTTCTGCAAAGAAGGTGCAAAATTAAAAAAAATTAATCTTACTAATATTGAATGGGAGGCTAGACAAAGTCTTGTTATAATTCTTAAACCATTTTCAGAGGCAACTGAGTTTTTAGGAGGTAGCAAATATGCAACAATAAGTTTTATGTATAGTGCGATTAATGCAATTACTAATAATCTTATACTTACTGATAATTTTGAACTGCATCAAGTAAATTATGATGATAATAGGAATGTTTTTGATGATACTATTATAGATAATATTGAATTATCAATTTTTTAAAAGCAACTCAATATTCCTCAAGACTGTACAAATTTTGAAATAAGAGTAAAAATAGCTCTATATAATGCTATCAATTACTATTAGCAAGTATCATTAGAAGAAGAAATATTAGCCGCATTACTTGATCTTTAATGTAAGATGACCACTTAGGGGTCTGACACGTTTTATTAAACTTTGATTCGAATGTCAGAGCAACTCATTTAGACTACCCCTGACTTTGTTACATTGACGAGGGTACAACTAGCCATATGTACAACTTTTGGTTGTCTATTTAAGCAGTCTTACATATGTAACCCATATGAATTACACTAGATGCTATATCTATAACCCAACTAAGGAGATTATCTATTTAAACTCTCTGATCAACTTAGCGCTGTCAGATATTTTCCTCAAAGAGGGACTGCCGAGAAGGCCCCTTAGGACTTTAAAGTGGACACACACTTCCATATAGGGGGTCCTTTATCCTCATAGTAAACCTACTAGAGCGGTCCATATCCTACGCATGTATCACCTAGATTTTCGGTAACTTACGCCTAGGCCGAGGTCAAGTACTTGTGGCTTTTTTACCTCCGCTACCATTACCTACTCTGTGCCCTTGCAAAGTTCACCCAAACCCCAGCACTTACTATATGGACTATCCTCTGTATACTTGTTATTCCAAACTCCCAATCCAGATGGCCCAGAAGGGCTGTGACCTGCCCTTGGTCCCTACGATTGGGTCCTTTTCCTCTGGTTACTCTCTGGCGGCCTGGTTGGTGGAGTGTCTTGTCAAGCACTTCGGTCCCATTCGGTTCTCCGGTATCCTGGTGATAATCCTTTACGTAGTACCATCAAAGATCTGTACTACCTCTCTACTCGGGTCTTGCCAAGCGGGCTTTCATATGCACTGACCTCGGATTTACACGACTGCTTCACTTGGGTTTCATGTAACTTGTACATTACACTATTGTTTCACAGTCTCCAGTACAAGCTGGTGTGATTTAGTTACAGATATTGATCCGCCCTTACACTCACAGTTGCTGTAACACTGTACTGAGAATTCGAATTTTCGTCGCCGGTAGGATTTGAACTCTGGTCTTGCCACTTGAGGGTGCAACAACTTCACCACTTCACTAAGTCACCACACCCTTTTATTATTTTAAAGTTAAAAGTTATAACAATATAAATACAATATAATTATGATATAATATAATTTAATATATTAAAATTATATAGTAATTATATTATAAAAACATTTTTAATTTTATTTATTTAATTATATTATTATTATATAATTTAATATAGAAAAAATCATATTTATACCGGTGGTTATTGATATCCACCCCCTATTTTATTATAAAAAATCGTTTTTTTGCTAAAATTTAGGGTTAAAGTGCAGTTTAATGCTAAAATAGGGTTCAAATATAATAGTCCAAATTTTAAGTTATACAAGGTTTTGGGGGGTTCCGGATATTTTTACTTAGTATGCCTGACTCTGTTTCTTAGTCAGTTTTTTGAAATATAGTAGTTTTTATTAAAGTTTAGGGTTAGAGTGCAGTTTTACGCCAAAATAAAAGCAGATATTATAGTTCAAATTTAGATTACACAAAGGTTTTAGGAGTTCCGAACATTTTTACTTAGTACGCCTGACCCTGTTTCTTAATCTACTTTTGAGATATAGCACCCCGGATATCAATATCCCCCGGTATTAATTTAATATATTTTTTAATATATTAAAATAATATTATAATTATATTATAACAATATGTTTCTATATTAAATCATTGCATTGTACAATGCTTTATAACTATACAAATAATAATATATAAATTATATAATAATAATATAAAAACTATATAATTTTATAAATTATATTATTTTAATATTAAAATTATATTCTTTAAATATAATAATTATATTGTTAAAAAAACTCAGGTTTCTGCTAAATTCCTTACATGTTTGATAATCTTTATCTAAAGAAAGTGTTGTAATTATAAGATCAATTATATTTTAAATTTTAATTAAATATTGCTAAACAAGATAAGAGGAATTTCATCTTATAGGTGTATTTGTGATTATATGCAATTTATGATCATTTTAGGAAAAATCCTAATTAATGTAAAATGATTAATATTAAAATTTAATAAAAGTTTAATAATTTATATAAAATAAATGCTATTGTTATACTTACAATATTTTCATTACAATTGAATTTTTTTTAAGCATCTAAAAATCGCTATGTTTGTTTAGAGGTAGTAAAATATAATATAAGTCTTTTTGCCTATGTAACTAAATTTTCTACTTCTAAAAGACCTTTTCTAACAACTAACTGAAGCGTATGGGCTGTGCATAATATGTGGATTATATTTGGCATTAAATTTAATGCTTTAATCATATTATTACCATTATTAGTAGTAATTGTAAATACTTTATTATTAAGTTGCCATTTATTAATAATCAAGCTTAAAGTTTCAGCGATAATTTCATCAGAAGGGTTTGGGCTCTGTAGCTTACTGGTTAAGCTCCCAAACCCCTACAGACAAGGTTGATGGTTCAAGTTGGGCTGGTGGCAAATTTTAAATTTGCTACTATAACTTTAAGGAGCTATAATCGGATGTAAAGCCCTGTGGAAAGTCTAAATGCAAGTACAGTCTAGGAATAGGAATTCCTGGAAGGAGCTCTGATTATGGAGTGTAGGCATTATGTGTGACAGCAGTGTTACAGAAGGTCTAGGTTGTAGAAGATCACACGAGTTAGTCCTTTGGTTGGGGTAACTCAGAGACAATACCAACATCCCTTCACCCCATATTAGGCAATACCAACATCCTCACATCCAACTTGTGGGGTACTTGCTTAGAAGGATAATTAATGTATTGTGTGCATTAGTTCTAATTTGGAAATGGTGCTGGGTACTTGCTTAAAAGAGTAATACGATACTACTGAAACTGGAATGGTGAGAGAAGCAGTGAACATATGAAAGGGCTGTAGTAAAGGATTGGCCTTACTTAGACAAGAAGCACCTCTGGCAGTGAAGAACAACTATCTAAAGAAGGTAATTTCATAGAGGCAGGCTAGCTAATCTAATACATCTAAAGGCATCAAGTCAGAGCTCTGGTCATACCTATATAGAAGTCTTTGATGAAAGAAGCCAAAATACACCAACAATAATGCAACACCAACCAATGATGAAGAATCAAGTTGGAAGTCAAGGTGAATTGGAGTATGCCTCCTAGTAATATGACGCAAGGCCTACGGTTGGAAGTAGAACTGCTTGCCATTTAAAGAATTTCATGGTGTTAGGCTAGTCTTTAACAAGATAGGTCATTAAAGCAGCTATGCAATATGGTTCTGGTAATACACTATATGAGGAAGTACAAATAGATTAGTTGGTACCACTATACAAGAAAAAGAATGTTAAGTTCTGGGGTAGACAAATTAGCGGTGGCAGCAGGGCTTGGCTTGAGATACAGGTTAGTAGTACCTGGGCTGATAAGTGGGAGATTAAGGCTTTCATGAAAAAGAGATGGTGCATGAAGTGATGCAAACCAGTTAAGGCAGTGCAAGTCCAAGATAAGTCCTTAATTGACAATATAATACCAACTCAGTCATGTAGCAAACCTAACTAGGCAGCAAGTCTTGGCTTGAGATACGAGGCTGTAGAAAGGCCACCTGCATCAATTATGGTTGCATAAATAAAGTACCTTAGTGGAAACTTGCAGTGGATCATGTTTGCAGATATACCAAATTGGAAGCTCATTAGGAGCGGACACCTGATATACCAAATTGAAAGTTATGACTAGTTGTGTGAGATATAAGAGAAATGTAGTATTACTAGAAATAGTTAGTTGGGAAGCGCAAAACTAGGTGAGACATGTGTGGGATATGTAACACTCTAGTAGGTTTAGGTCGTAGATAAATTAGTCTAAATCTCTGTAGTAATGCGTTAGCGTATATGTAAAAGACTTGTCATAATAAGTATATGTTAATAAAAACCAGAGGCATGATTTCACCTTAATATTAAAAAAAAAATAATAATAATTTCACCAGAATAAGGATAAGAAAGATAATTAATAGAGAGTATATTCTCTTGTAATTAAAAATTATCATCAACATAGAAGCAAGTAATATTTAAATATCCAATCTATTACACCTAGTCTATAAATTATAGATTATGAACACTATTTAATATTTTTTTCAAATATATTTAATAAAGATTGTTTAGTATATTCATATGCTTCAGAAAGTAATTAACAATAATATTTTTTACTTAAATTTTGTATGATAGATCAAATTCTGCAATAAACTCTCTAAAGCCTTCATTATTTTGAATACTTATTGGTTGCAGATCTTTAATCAAAATTTTAACAAATTTTTGATCTTTATGTTGTTTGCATTCTGGATTATTATAAATGATTTGATCAATTTGATGTTGCGAAGGTTGTAATTTTTTTGTTTTTTCATTATGAGAACTTTCTGTAATATTATGTCATGTTGCTAAGTATTCAATAAAATTTTCTGTTGAACTGTCTACTGATCTCATGATATATCCATATATTTCACTTTTATTATTTTTATAAACTTTCACTAAACAACTTACAATTGTTTTGTAAGATAATATAACTTTATAACATTGATAATATGACCAAATCCAATTTTGTTCTGAATGTTTTGTAAGAAGAACTAGCTTGATTTCTTTTAAATTTGGTAATTTTAATATATTATTTGATCTTTCTGGCAAAATTGAATAAGATTTTTTATTAACTAAATTATTACACTTATCAAATATATTATAGTTATTGTTATTAACTAGACTATTGCATTCATCAGAAATAAATTCTTCAGATTGAAGTAATTCTAAACTTGACATATTTATATTAGATTTTTTTTTGCTTTTTGTATTTTTATGAGAATGCGAAGAGAAAATAGCATTTTCTTCTTCGTTAGAAGAATTGTTATTAGATATTTTTATTAAAAATTTTTATTGAAAAGATATGAAAATTATTTTTATATTTTTTGTAACAATATATTAACCTGTATTTATTTAAAATTCACTTGATAGATTTTAAGCCTATCTTAATTTATCAAGTTATATATTATTTTAAGTTTTTTGAGCATTAATAAATAAGGTAGCTACGCAACACAGTTGCGTTAAAAACCAGAAACGAAAATAAAAATACTGTTGGCCTTCTCAAAACCAATTTTGTTAAAACCAATAACCTGCAATAG